CAAAAATAAATATTTTTTAAAAAGTTATTGGTCTTTTAGTTTTTGAGTCGTTTTTGACCCGTTTGTAGTCCGTTTAGGGGCAATCGGGGCTGATATTTTAAGTTTCTAACAACGAAAAACACGGCATTTCAACTTTTCTCACCTAACACCATATTTTGTAGTAAGCGGGACAGATGGGCCTAGGCCGATTATGGCACCAACTGCCCCGGCGGAAAATATGAAAAAAACGTCAGCTGTGTTTTCTAACCAATCTGGAAATTTCAGAGAGAACGATTTTCTGAGAGCTGTTTGACAAAATTACGTGTTTGATTAGCCACCGATTGAGATTCTATCACATCTTGCATACAAATTACCGAAAAGTTGATGACATTATAGTTTCCATTTGTGAAGCATATGCAGAATAATCTGAAATCAATTTACTACTTTTTTTAAACTTTAAAAACCTCTAATAGAAGGCCCCCCATTGTCATTTTTGAGCTTAAATATCTCAATTTCTATGTAAGACGAGCCTGTTTGCCGCACCTCCGGCGCTTGGGTCTTCGGCGCGATTCAACCTATTTACTTCACTGTTCTTCAAAGGTCACGTCAATTTATATTTATTTTTTTCAAGCTTTTCAAAAAATTTTTTTTATTCACGTAACGCAATAAATTATTAGATCAATCAAAATTAGGTCACGCCCCCTCTTTCTGTCCAAGTTGAAAAAATTCCGCGTATTGGAAAAAAAATCAGTTCTCTGGCAAATCAAAACTCCTTGAATCTTTATTGTTGGATAACTTTCACAGGCACTTTCTCACTGGTAAGAAGCTCTTTGCATTACGCTGCTTATTGTTGTTTCTTTTGCTTTTTTCTGTCGATTGATCCGATGTGAAAAAGTACTAAAAGGCCCTAAGGGTCGCCATGTTTCGGGGTTCATGGCTAGGTGTTTCATTACTGAACGTCCCCCAGTAGCAAAAGATTTAATCAAAGATTAAAAAAATTGAGACAACAATGAAAGGCGGTATGCAATGTGGCTTCTTATCAGGGAGAAGGAGCTTTTGAAAATTAACCGACAATGGTCTCCGAAAAGAGGGGTTTTTCGGGTGACTTCTTGTTTTTTTTTGTTTGGAGGTGGGGGGCCCCTCCACCCGCCTCCTATGGGTTTTAGAAGGTGATCCCATTGGAAAATAAACCTTGTTTCCCTTTCATGTACTGAGCCTCTACGTGGCGAAAGGGATCAACAGACTTTCTAGTCTGGCTAATCAGTACACTTTTCGAAACTTTATTTTTTCATAATTTTCTACATATTTCAACAAAAAAAGTCGATTTTTTTAAAAACCCTTTTTACATGTTTTTTCCAAACATTACAATATCATTTAATTCTTCAAAAAGCCCACTTGGGTTCAAGCCCCTGCTAAATTATGTGGCTGAGACTTTAAAAAAAATCAAACTTTTAAACTTTGGACGAAAAAATCACGCGTCGCAACTCGTTGACTGAAACTAATTAGGTCAGATCCACGTTAACGGAAATTATTAATATTCTTCTGGCCTAAAAGTCATTTGGGGCGCGTTTTTTGACCTGTTGGCTTGAAACGATGTGAAAGCCCAGTGCCGGTCAATAAATTATACAAAAACTTATTTTTCAGATGATTACTTTTCGAAATTATTTATTTTTTCATCAGCAAGCTGATTTTTTCATCAGCAATTCAATCTAGGTTTTTACTGGTTCGTTGCTCGTAAATCTATATTTATTAGTCTAGTTTTTCAAAAGTCCACAGACTTTCATCAGGACAGACACGTCTAGTGTTATATATATAAGGAAGATATCAGAAATGTGTCCACTGATAAAAGTTTTTTGATATTATAATAAACAAATTATCAGTTGACAGCTTTGACAGGAACAGATATAAATTTGCTCAAAAGTAAGGGGCCCTTCTATTACAGGTTTTATGGTAGATGCGTTATCCAAAAAGAACAAAAAACCAACCCAATAATCAAGACAATATATCGTGTCTTGTTGGCGAAAGTGATGTTTTTGTGGTCCTGCAGCTCCTCAATTTTCTCCATCGACATATTCACATCGAACAAAACCAGCGAGAATGAATTTTCAGACCCAACAAAAAACTTGCACCGCCCTTTTGGTCGTAGTTTTTGATGATACCTGACATCACGATGACTTTGGAGGATTTGCATAAAATTTCAGGACTGAGAGGGCATTTCAACGAAATGCTATCGAAAACGTTGGTTTTTCTCTCTTTTTCGAACTTATGCGAGAACTGTGATTGCATTCGTTTTAGTGGTGGTCTGGAAATGTTGATTCCTCGATTTCGCAAAAGATGAAACCATTTTGTGTACCTGTGGAGAGAAGACATATTTGATTAAGCTATTGGTTCAACAACCATGGAAAAGAAATTTTTTTGAATAAAATTTTGTTGCAAAAATATACGAGGAGAATGTTTTGTTAAATTGTAAAATTGCTCATTTCCACAGATAGCTGCTCATCTGATTCCAACACCCACTCCAGACATGCACTTTGAGCTCAATTATCTCGGTTCCTATAAGCGAAATCAGAAATCTGTCAACTATTAAAATATTGGTGATATTACAATTAGCATTTTATCAATTGATCACTTTTTGATATCTCTCATGAGAACTGAGATAATTGAGCTCAAGGTGCACGTATAGGGTGGGCTCCTAGAGCACTTACGGTGGTTTTGCTCATCTGATGCCCACAAAATAGAATTTCATTCATAGGGCCAAAACTTTTCTCGCACTATCCATATTGGAGCAATTTATTATTGGACAAATCGATCCGACATTTTGATTTCTCCCTTACTTAACTTTTAGTAGAAGGGCCCCTTAAATTTTAACTTTGCGCCAATTTATCTCTGACCATGTAAAAAATATCAAAAACTGTCAACTGATGAATTTTTTTACAAGACCGGAAATTTTTTGTAAGTTGACACATTTTCAATAATTTGCCTGGGAATTGAGATAATTAAGCTCGAACTTGATAAGGGGGTCGCCCTTATATTAGACTTATTACGGTATGGTGGACCTTCAAATTGACAAAGCTATCTAGTCAGCTTCTCTAATTGTAAGCTGAACTTTTCAAAGTTTGTTTTAAAACAAAAACGATAATAATAATCATCATCAGAAAAATTTATTCAGTCTTTGTTTTACAAAACCATGGCACCAAAGAGAATCACATGACAATATAATTTTCACAAACATTCAATAATTCTCCACATCTCCAACTCGCTTCTCTCCAAACCCTGGTTTCGTAAAATCTGCGGCTTCCGTCGTTGCCAAAAACGGGAACGGGATGTTCATAACAATGACCCATATTCCACCAGCAATATAAAATACTGACCATTCTTCCGGTGTGTGATTTGGACAAAGATATCCAATAATGATTGGAAGAATAAATATTGCTACCCAGGAAATTAGTGAATTTACTGCCATTACAAAGTGAATGTACTGTCGAGATACCTGAAAAAAGACTTTATATACCGTATTTCCTCTAATAGAAATGTACCCTGATCTACCCGCCCCCCCCCCCAAAAATCATCAACTTTGAGCCAATTTTTCTCATTTCCTGTCAAAGATGTAAAAAAAACGGTCAACTGATAAAACATTTTTGATATTATGAAAAAATTATTATCAGTTGACCACTTTTTGATATCTCTTAATGGAACCTATATAATTAAACTCAAACTTGACAGGGTTGGGTTCCCTTCATTTCTGTTTTTTTCGGTAGTTTTCTTTCTTCCCAATTTCCTATACTTCGATTATTGAAAGTGAAAAATGTCTACATTATCAATTCCAGCAACTGCTGATTCAAGTCTAAAGAGTAAATGAATGTTGTCATTAACTCATTAAAACAGGGCGTTCCCCTGTAATAGGTCAAAACAGACAAATTTCTTATCTGCCACGGGTTTCCACCCAATTTTAGGAATCAGTTTGTTGACTATAAAATTTTGATTTTTTAATGTACATATGTATTGTTTGGTCTTGTGTAAATCATAATCCGGAATGGTATCTTCTCGGAAAGTTGTAGTAAAAGTGCATACTGACACGTGAAAAAGCGAATACAGGGAAAGAGATCAGAATACTGAAACCCACCATTTGAGCACATTTGACTACTCCGATCATATTGACACCAGCTAGAACAATCGCCGCGGTATAAGCGATTTGTGCGATTAGTTTTGTTCGGGTCTGGAATTATCCAATTATCGTATTTTCTGTAATAGAAGCCCACCATTTTGAGCTCAATTGTCTCGGTTCCTAAAAGATATATCAAAAAGTAGTCAACTGATAAAATGTTTGTCATAATATTATCAATATTTTATCAGTTGACAGATTCCTGATATCTGTCACAGGAATTGAGATAATTGAGCTCAATGCGCATGCAAAAGGTTTCGTGAAATCTAGCGATTCTAGACCTTCTTTGCTTCTGTTTGAGAGAATACGGTATCTAAATGATTCGACCTACCAACGCCATCACAAAGAATCCACATGCCATTCCTAGTTGAGCAACTGCTGCGAAGAATATCATTTTCCACGTATCAGGCACATTTGTCAGTTTATCCGACAACGGACCGGCTGTGAATTTAACGGCAGTTGCCAGAATATACGGAATCGCATTTGCAAATCCAGTATCCTTTACATCCAGTCCCAAGACTTTATTTAGATACGTTGGTCCATAAATCATCAGTGTCATTAGAGACATATTTCCTCCAAGAGCAGATGACCAGATAGCTAGGACCACTTTGTTTTTGCATACTGCAATGTAGGGAACTTCTCGTCTTCCAGATGTTTCTGATTTCCCAGCAGCAATTTTTTGCAGCTCCTTTGTGCTTACATTTCTAAAAATTATATGCATTGGAACATTACAGCAGATTAAAAAAATACCTATGAGATTGAGCCGTATCCCTGAAGAATGCATAGAATCCAGCAGTGACGGCGCATGCAACTCCTCCGAAAATGTAATAGATGGATCTCCAGCCCAATTCAGATTCACATAAAACTCCAGATAATGGCATCGTGATAATATTACTCAACTGGAAACAATTTTTATTTTGGACACCTTTAACTTTTAACTTTGAGCAAATTTGTCTAGGTTTCTTTCAAAGATATAAAGAAGTTGTCAACTGATAAATTGTTTATCATAATTTTAGAAACATTTTATCAGTAGACACATTTTTGGTATACTACACACGAGTTGAGATAATTAAGCTCAAATTTGACGGTATGGGGGCCCTTCTATTACAGGTTTTAATAGTACCGGCCATTGGGATAAACAAAAACGTATTTTTCAGTTAATTTTAACCATTTTCAAAAGTCCGTTCTGAACTTCCGAAAATCCCGAAAATTCGAATCTTTCGAAAATCCGAAATTTTTTCAATTTTCAAAAATCTCAAACTTTTCAAAATTTCAAAAATACCAAAACTTTGAACATTACAAAAATCGCAAAAAATCGAGTTTTCCCAGAATCCCAAACATTGGAAAACTTTAAAAAACCCGAAAATTCGAAATTTTCAAAATCTCCAAAAATTCGAAATTTTCCAAATTCCTAAACATTCGAAAACTTCAAAAATCCAAAAATTTCGAATTTCTCCGAAATTCCTTACATTCGAAAATTAAAAAAAAACACCGAAAATTCTAAATTTCTAAATTCTCAAATTTTGAGTCCAAAAATGGGACAAAAGGGGTGTCTTTCAGTAATTGGCGAATAACTGAAAAACTAGAAATTTTAAAAAATTCTGTGAATGCAAATTTTTCAATCTATTAGGTTGTTTGGGAAGTTCCGTCATTTTTAGCGTCATATACATTCAAAGTAAAACAGGTAAAAACGATGTCGTATAAATTGAAGGTAATGATCACTGTTATTAATGACTATCTGACAACGCCTCACTAAATTTTGGATGCCTTCCTTCCAGAACTCCGGTGAAAGCGAATCAAAATCCAAGCCAACCTCTTTTTATATTTTGTTTTGAGGTGGCCTTTTTATCCATCAAGATGACGTTAGAAATGGCTGCATAGGTGATAGTCTGAAAGTAAGCAACTCTTTGTTTTTCTCTCCAATGGAGATACACATGGAGTCGGAGTTATGTCACCTGACAAGAATAGGTATCGGTCTTAAAAATGACACAATTATCTGGCAGCTGCCAATACTCCACCCTTGGTAGACCATATTACCGACAATATCCCATTTTTGACATGAATTTCACGTTTCGGGACGTCTGGTGGTTGAGTTCCACTGTCAACCCATTTGCCATGTCGCTTATTGTAATCATACATTACCCATTTATCACAACTAGTAATGGTTTGGTTCTAACATTCATGTATGCAAGGCAGGATGAGAAGATTCAAACAGATGCTCACTCGTGAAACAAAGTTGTGTTGAGCCAAAAGGTGTGATCCATATCTTTCCACTTTTTTTGACTTTACCGAGGGTTTTCAATTCATGGCTTTTTGACGAAAAGCTTGCCACTGATGTACTTAATATCTCCCGCACAGTTTGAGACGGGTCCCTTTAGATCCCGTTTCTTAATGGGTCCAAATCTAAGCCTGTTTGACTTTTTGAGGGGGATTTTCGTCAAACGAGAATTCTCCTTTTTCAAATTGATAAAGCCGGGTTGTGATGATAGTTCGAAAGGGTGCATCTTCGCTGAAAACATCCACTAATCCGAGATCGATCCCAGCAATTTTCCGGTCAGATGGAAACAAAAATAAAATGGTCGTCCAACAATGGAAATTGTTAGAGGCGAAAACGTTAAGCATATCCCACTACAAGAAAAGAAGAGAATAATCTTCGTTTGGGTCTAGACACTATTAGACCCGTTAATATACTGATAAAACGACAGCCTCCTCACTTTTGCCCGTCGTTAAAAACCAAGTTTGAAAACAGTAGATCAAAAATGACGGTAACTTTCCAAACAACCTAATAGTTTTGTTTTACACACTTCAAAATTTTCAAGGTGTTTAGAAACTCAACAGTCGAGCTCCAGATTCCTGAAAACGGCCAAAAAATCAACTGAAAAATTACATTTTTTGTAGGTTTTATTGACCGGTACTGTATCTCAGTTCCTGTGCAATGATATCAAAAAGTAATCAGCTGATAAAATGTTATTGATAATATCAAATTATATATTGTTGAATATTATTATAATTAAAATTTTGGCACGACAGTTTTTACGACATGTCAAAAGTCCATACCTGAAATCCAGCTGATAAGAATGCAATATAAGTACTGATTTCTGCAATCGGAGACCATCCTTCAGAAATGCTCCCAATCGAAGAGAACAAAATAGATGCACCAAAACCTTGAATCAATCTAGCAACTACTACAGGATAATACCCGATCGAAACTGCAAGTGGAACTAGCAAAGTCGCAATTGAAGATGAGAAACTGTAGAATGTAAGAACGTTTCTGAAGCAAAAAAATCAAAAAAATATGTTCAATTATATGGATACCGTATTCCAAATCTCGTTGTCAATGGAACCGATGGTACAAGTCCAATTATAGCGCCAATTGCACCAGCGGAAAATACGAAAGAGACGTCGGCAGAGTTTTGGAGCCAATCTGAAATGTTTTTTTTTTTTTAATTGAAGAATTAAAAAGTATATATTACGAGTTTGATTCCTGGCAACATGCTCTTCTATCACATCCTTCATACAAATTACTGTGAAACTAATTGTCGTATAGGCACCATGATTACAGATGATAGAGCATATTCTGAAAACTCAATACTATAAATTGTTATTTTTAAAAAATAAAAAAGAAACAGTACCCTAGAAAAAGCACAACGAATCGAGTCCGATTCCCGAACGTCCATCTGCCACCTTCGGATTTTTCAGTCATGTTCCAATTTCAAAATTAAAAAAAATAACAAATGTGAATCAAACTTCCCATCATTTTATGGGATCTTTTGACTCTTTGACATTGATTTACATAATCTGTGTAGTCGTCGGAATTGTTTGACGTCGTGTTTCACTCTTCATGGTTGTCTCACGTATTCTCTCGAAGAGTTGATGATTGGCGCAATCATGGACTTTTCAGAACTTTGGGTTCAATTTTAAAGGTCACAATATTATCTGGATCCGGGGGTGAAAAACTGGATTTCAAAGTTTTTTTTGAAGTTCCTCAAAAATTATGTAGTTGAATAAATTCCTGAATCCGAGTTACCGTATTACAGTCAACTTCAATCTCATAGTCAGTCATCACGATTCCTGTCGAAGATATCAACAAGTTGTCAACTGATAAATTGCTTATCATAATTTCAGAAGTTTTTTGTCAGTTTACAAAGTTTTCACATCTTGCATAGAAATTGAGATAATTGTAAAATAACAGGACTTCTATTACAGATGTTACGGTACATTTCGAAATCCTTGACTTAACATTTGTAAGACCGAAATTTTTTCGCTTGCTTTTAAGAAATTTATACTGAAAAAATTAATACTCTAATCTACAGTACTGGCCATAAAGAATGCGACAACTTGTTTTTTGAAGATAACTTTTTGAAAACTCAACTTTTCAATCCGAATTTTTGGTAAGATTTTTTCAGCACTATCAAAAACTTTTAGGCTAAGTTGGTTTTAATATTCTGCTACAATTTTTTTGAAAATTAATTTTTTTCGAAAATTCACGAACATATTGAACTTCGATTCATCGCTCCAGATGTGATTTGCCCACTCACGGGGGCCCCAGGACAAGTGCTGTTTAGCCCATTCAACGCGAGCTTTTCGGTTTTTCAAACTGACGAGTGGTTTTTTGACTGGTCTTCGTCCGTGCAGTCCAGCAACTTGCAAACGTCTTCTAATAGTTCTTCTCGATGGTACCGGTTCATTTGGAGACGTCACAGAAAGTTGAATACCCGTAGATGTGCGTCTAGGATCTTCTCGGCATGCGCGCAAAATGTTCCGATCCATATTTCTGGAAGTGGTTCGGGGTCTTCCTGGAGATTGGCGATGAACAACGCCATTCTAAATTGTTAAATTTAGTTGAGAAAGCTGATTGAAACCTCACATCATCTCGATTTTTCTTCAGAATACGGTAAATTTGGCTGGAAGAACAACTAAACTGAGTTGCAAGTATCTTCGGATGCGCGCCGAGTTCATGACCACGCACAATGCTTTTTCGCTCGTCCACAGAGAAGGATTTTTTCCCGAATGGTCTAACCATATCTGAAAAACAATAAAACAATAACTAAAACTAATTCCAATTAGTTGTCTTTCAACTTTATTTAAAAAAACCAAAAATCATGAAAAATATGCAAAATGAAAAAAAAAATGAAAACAATTGAAAAAAAATTTTGTTTGCAAGATGATGCAATTTCCAAGTACGCAAGTTTTCGTAACTTTCCAATGTGTCTACAGTAAAAAATTCGAGTTGAAAAGTTGAGTTTTCAAAAAGTTATCGTCAAAAAACAAGTTGTCGCATTCTTTATGGCCAGTACTGTAAGTTCAATGCGCGTTGAAACCGAATATGCGACGGTGGAAAGAGTTCGCTACCAGATCTAAGCTCCGCGCACCATCGAATTTTGGTCGCATTGAAATTAGACCCGACTAATACATTGTCCGGTAGAGAATTTTCACAATCTTTGTTTATACTACACAGGGTGGCTAATAAGTATGCGATTTTTTTGTTTTAATGTGTCCTGAAAGAAAATTGGCTTATGACCTTGGAAATTTCAGTTGAATTTGACCATGTACTTAGGAGTCTGGAAATCGGCTGTCAAGTTTAACCGATTTCTGAAGGATACCTGTTTTTGTACTGAAGACGTAAAAAATTCTCAAAATGCTCCGAAACTTGTCAGCCGAGCTCCAGACTCATGAAAATGATTAAAATGGCCGAAGATCAACTGAAAAAAATATTTTTGTAAATCTAAATGACTGGTACTGTAGTTGTCGCTTGTTTGGTGGATCGCACTGCTCGGGACAGTACACGTTATCAACTGCTTGAAAGCGGATGACGTCTTCGGAATCTTGCGGAAACTTTCATCATTACTCTATTGGCTTGAGAATTGAACATTTTGATTTTCGATCGCTATTTCTTTTTCAAATCATTGACAACACTGTCGTTGCAAGATAATACCTCAATTTTCAGATCAGAAACAATTCTTTTTGGTCGTCTCTTTCAATTTTTTGGGTGTAACTGCGTGTGGTTTGCTCGTCGGAAATGTGTCATAAAATTTACAGGGGAATTCAGATAACATGGTCGAAGTCCAGGAGACTAAAATAGCAAGCTGGTAGCTAGCGGGAATCAACAGGATCATGAAGTACATCTAACTGATGTCAGAAATCATAAAAAAAACCTGTGCTGAAACCATCATATGATTTGGACAGGATCACAAAAAAAAAGACACAATCGAACTAAAAATTTACGAGCTAATTTTTACTATAGTATGTACTACTACACTTATCAGTATATTTTTTGCTTCTATTAGAAAATTTCGAAAGTTTAACAGCAGTACACACTTCTTTTCTTTTTGTTCTTATACATACAGTGCCCCCACCGAATCTCTCCAAACATTTAAAATGATTGTATAAAGCTGATAAGTGATTTTGAACAGAAAATGGAAATCGTTGGCAAACTGATACCCACTATTACTCTTCCTGCCGCCGCCAAAAATTTCTTTCTTTTCTTTCACTTCTTTTTTTCTAGTATGTGTACTAATTTTCTGTTATGTGTCATCTGAAATGTTGGGTTTCATAATTTGGGTGTTCCCATTTTTCGGGTTATGACCTTTTCTGAAAATGGCAGTTTCAAGTTTTTTGTTTCTGAATCAGAAAAAAGTAATCCCAAGATTATTTTTTGCAAAAACTACTTTCAGGTTCTAGGAGCAGTGAACGATGTTCAGAGACCTTGCCAGGATCCACATCGTTTCCTTCGCCGTCGGAATAGTCGGATTGATCGTCGGTATAGTCGGCATTGTTTTGGCTATTGTTTTCGGAACTGGTGGGTGTTTTTCTACGTTTTTGTATCTCCAAACCATCTCAAGATACAAAAAGCTTTAGAATTTGAAGCCCATTTCAGAAAAGCTCTAGATAAATCTCAGGTTGTTCGCTTTGGGTCAATTTTCTACTTTTCACGTGTAATATCATAAAACCTATATTAGAAGGACTGGCTTCTCTATTACAGTACCCTTGAATTAGAAGGGTCCTTTCTGTTTTTCCGTTCATTTTTTTACGAAAATTTTCGTCGAAATAGTTGGCGAATTCTCGTTCAAAAACCATGAAAATCCATAAATTTCACAATTTTGAGAAAGGTTTTGAGCGAAACAGTGTTATTCAACAAACTTCTGTGAACTTCCGGAATACTTCTCACTGAAAACGTACGGAAATTTTGATTTCAAACAATATTTTGAAAGGGGCCCTTCTATTAGAGAGGCCCTTCTAATGCAGGTTTTACGGTATTCAAATCATCTCGAGATACAAAAAGTTTCTGAATTTACAGTAGGAGTACACAAAATAGAAAGCGTCCTGATGAAATCCAGGTTCTTTGCTTTGTACCATTTTTTCTTGTTTTTTCGTTATGATATTTGTACTCACTTCAGTAGTTCACTTCAGTAGATGTAACGAAAAAATTCTGAAAGAGAACAGTTTTTTGACTCTAATCATCCGAAACGTTATGATGATGCCTCTTGTCTTCGTTGAGCTCGCATGTCGTCATCCTACCTCTCAACTTTGCGCCGCTTTTTCTCAGTTCTTGCGCAAGATATCAGAAACCTGTCAACTGATAACATCTTTGTGATATTATGATAAACACTTTACCAGCTTACCACTTGTTTAAATCTCTGACAGGAATCGAGATAAATTGGCTCAAAGTGGAAAGTTACGGGTTTTATGGTAATACAACGCCACCTCTAACTTTTAACTTTCAGCAAATTTATCTCGATTTCTGTAAAAGGTATCTAAAAGTTATCAATTGACAAAATATTTTTGATTTCATAATAAACATTTTTCAGTTGACCACTTTTCGATATCTTATACAGAAAATTAGATATTTGTGCTCAAAGTTGAGACATATCACATCCCAATTTTTCAGCTCAAACCACTTGCACTACTCCAGTAACACCAACATGCCCTGTTATCACCGCTCAGGCTTGTAATACAAATCTCTTTGGTATCAGTACAACCGTAAATAATATGAAATGGGACGACGCTTACAATAACCCCAATGGAGCAGAATACAAAAATGCAGTAAATAACATCACATCTACATTAACAGATTCATTGAATGCTGGATTGAATAATCAATCTTCTTCTTCGTCATTCCTCCGAATTCTCGCTGCTACTGGACCGACTTCTAATAATGTGAAAGTTGAAATCACTCGATTAGAGTTCGTTCAATTTTTGAAAATTGATTTCAAAGTTAACAAATTTAATCTGTTTCAGTAAAGACGGAAATGGGTTTGTCATCGCTACTGGAAACGGTGCTATTTCCGCTGCGGTTCCCATTGAAAACATGCCAAATGCGACTAATGTAGCCAATGTTATTACTTCGGATAAAAACGCATATTCGAATTCTACAGGTTAGTTGCTCATATACAGTACCAGGTAACAAAATATACAACAATTGACAGCGCTCTGAAAATGGTAGAAATTAACTGAAAAACACAATTTTAACCCACAAAACTTTTCTTTCAGCTACACCACAAGTTTGCCCAACTTGTTCCGAATGTCAAGTGTGCACAACTCCAACCTATGAGTGTCCAACCTGCACACCATCTCCTGCAGACTGCCCAACTCCAACTCCAACTATAGGTACCACACAAACCAATCCCCCAACCACCACTAGGGCTCAAACGAGCTCCAAAGCACCTTCTACACTCATCAGCACAACAGGTCCACAAACCACAATTCAGAAGGCCCTATCTAGTTCATTAAGCCCCGTCCCTGTCCCCAGTACCACGCAATCGAGACCCACATCTGCAGGCAGTACCAGCTCAACCCCAAAGCCCCAAACCTCGTCCCCAGTCCCGTCGACCACGACCCCAACGACCACGACCCCAACGACTACGACCCCAACAACCACAACCCCGACAACAACGACCCCGACAACAACGACTCCAACGACTACGAGTCCCACGACTACAAGTCCCACAACCACGAGTCCTTCAACTACAACCCCAACAACAACGACTCCATCAACCACGACCCCGTCGACCACAACCCCAACGACAACAACCCCAACGACCACAACTGTAACCACGCCAACTACATCGACGGCTACAACCACTACTCCAACAACTACTACCACAACTCCATCAGTTCAGTCCACAAGTACAGTAGCATTGCCAACAACTCCAGGAACAACGACTGTCCCCCCAACCATCGGTCCCAATCAATGCTACTATCAGTCAAACATCGCTATCGCCGTGGAGCTCACCAATGACAACTCACCGATAGACCTCAAAATGCAGAGCTTCATTTACAACACCCTTCTATTTTATTCTGGAAATCCATACCAACTGGGAAAAAGAGGAAGTAATATGACAGAGTTGGCTCTTGTACCATATCCAACATATACTGAAATCGGTAGTATCATGGGCTACGGAGCAGCGACGTAAGTTTCTGGAAATATTGACAGAAGATTCAAAGATTTAATTTCAGAACTTCCCAAAGAATATCTGGATTGTTCAATTCTTCATTCCCAGTTTTCGCTGGCCCAGATCCGGAAATCTATGAGTATGTTTGCAGTTCGCCTCAAAACAATTAAAATTACTTTTTCAGAGCCCTTAATTTCATTTCCAATCTTACATATGATGGCAACCCTGGCTATGTGATTATCATGGGTAAAAAGTGAGTTCTCTCTTCGAAGTCTGAATTTCAATACTTTAAATTTCAGTGGGTCGTCGGTAATTAAATCAATGCCATCATCTGAACTGCTTCAAACGCGTAGATTCACTGTTATCACGATTGGCTATCAATCAAATGATGATTTCAGTTTATTGGCCTCAAATCCAGGACTTTCATTCATAATTAATCAAGATTCCGATGAACTTGTTGTCGCTCGACAAATTGGAAATATTCTCAGTGAGTCAAAATCAGCATATTTTAACAAAACGGGTCCTGGCGGCCTCTGTCATAATCTCTTTTAGGATCAATGTTTTTTATCAACTGAATTAGATATGCTAGAGCTCAATAAGCACTACAAAATAACATTAATTGGGAATTCGCGTATTGTCTATGAACAAAGTTACAGAAGACAGAACAAGCCAACATAGCAAGCAAGGCCCTGCCCGGTTCGGATCGGCAGCTTTATGACTTGTAACTTTGACCATAGACAAGATAGAGATTTCCAAATTGTTACCTTTTGTAGTACTCGTCAATTTTTATCGTAGCTAATTTGGTTGGTCAAAAAAATATTGATCCTAAAAAACTATGACACGGCCCGCTAGGACCCGTTTTGGGCTCGTTTTTAAGTATAAAAATCAAAGGCAATAAAATAACTATAACAATTTTAGATACATCATACTGCTACCGTCTTCTCCTTCTCCTGGCTACATAACCTCCTCTACACTGACAGTCGTCACTTCGAAATCAACTCCAGGCCCAACCATCTCGACTGTCACAACTACCCTGCCCCCTTCATCTTCCAGTCCCGTTCCTGTTCCATCGAGCTCACCCAAACCAGTACCACCGAGCTCAATTGGTACATCTAGTACATCCCAAGGTACTACTTCTTTACAGCAAGGAGTCAGCAGCACTTCTGCAACCCTTCCCACAACTCAGAAGTCTACAACAAGCAATATTTCCAGTTCCCAGAAGCCCCCCTCAACCTCCCCATCTTCCCCAACCCCTACTTCCCAAGTTTATAGCACCTCTACTATCGGATTCACTTCCACCCAATCCAGTTCATCGAGTCAATCTTCAGCTTCCCAAACCTCTACATCTTCTCCTACATCCAAAGTTTATAGTTCCTCCACGATTGGATTCACTTCCACCCAAACACTCTCAACCAGTTCTTCGAGCCACTCTTCAGCTACTACTTCAACAGGAGGTTCTTCTAGCATGTCTTCCAGCATGTCTTCCCAACCCTCCACCATTTCCTCTTCAACCGCCACATCCTCCCAACCAATTCTCACATCTTCAGGCTCTCTTAGCAGTTCTTCTGCACCATCCACTTCTGGTCCATCCACAAGTATTGCACCAAACCCTACTGGAAGTTCCAGCAGCACTTCATCAGTCCCTACACCGTCGGGATCACAAAGCACTTCTCCTCAGTTCAGCAGTCAGACTACACCATCCATATCGACACAAACCAGTAGTACTGCACAGTTCACATCTACCTCCGCACAACTCACTTCATCAACTGTTCCAGCTGGAACCACTGGAACCACACTTCCAACCACTGCGCCTCCAACAAAGGCTCCTGGAGAATGCTACTACCAGTCTAATGTTGCGGTTGCATTTGAACTCGCAACTTCGACAGAAGATATTGATCTTCAAATCCAAAACTTCATCACCGATGACTTGTTCTTCTATCAAGGAGCTCCGTATGATCTAGGAAACATCACTGCTGGAAAAACGGAGGTAACAATGGAATCCAATGGATTTTTTTTAATTTGCTTTCCAGCTTTCTCTGGTTCCATACCCAAATGATGATGCGTTGGCCAAGGTGATGGCATACGGATTCGCATCAAATCCAGGTCAAATTGGTGGTGTAATGGAAATCTTCCAACAAACGGCTCAACAAACACCCATTATTTCTGACGCTTTCAAGTATATTCCATTAAACCAGAGAACTGGAGCACCTGGATTCGTTATTCTAGTAGGCAATTCGTAAGTTTTCTATATATATAGCTCCCTCTAAAAACCTTCATAATGCGCAGAGATGCATCAGCACCAGCTGCCGTCGCTTCTGCTAAGAATCTTCAAGCTCTCGGCTTCAAAATCATCACTGTCGCCTACAAGTCAGCTGGCTCCTTTGTTGCCTTGTCTTCTGATCCGTCTTACAACTTCCAAATTCACCAAGATGCTGATAAACAGTCTGTTGCCAAAGCTATTGGAGACATTCTATGTGAGAAAACTTGTTTATGAGCATACCAATACAATAGAATTTGTTCCAGATGCCTACGCATGCACTACAACTGTTGCTCCATCCTCCACTGTCACTGTTCCCCAGGTTTCAACGTCATCTCCGGCTTCAAAGGCCTCTACAGCATCGTCAGCTCCAACGACTACCGTAACCAATCCAACTGTAGCTTCCACGTCCATCTTCCAATCCAGCTCAACAGTTAGTTACACCACCACATCGGGTCCAACTCCAACAACATGCGTCTGTACTACAATTGAACCAGGAAGCACGTCACCAGGATACAGTACCTCAACGTATGCTACTACGATGGGATCAAGCAGTTTTAGTACAGTCAGCACACCATCTATGACTTCTGGAAGTACTCCAGGAGCATCATCATCGCTTTCAACTCAACCAAGTACTCCTGGAGGATCAACTGCTTCTTCTCAAAGTCCTGGACCATCGTCTTCATCTCCATCTCCGCAAACTTCGACTGTAAGAGCATCTACTTCTTCTCCATCTCAACAGAGCTCTTGCTCGCCGACCTACACAACTGCTACAGTCCCCAGTGGATCCACACCCTCTGCTACACAATCTACATCTCCAGTGTCATCTTCTACAGGAACCGTACCATCAACTGTTCCAACGTCGAGTGGTTCCACTACATCTCAAATCTGTCCTAACCAACAGACAGTGTTTGATGGATCAGTTGGAGTGATTTTCGAACTTCTTCCAGCATCTGCGCAACAGGCAACCATCAACGCATTTGTCGAAAACATTTTATTGAATTCTAACTATTACGGATTGGCGGTGGATAATTTAACGAATCAAAATCGAACCCTTGCTACTGCTATTCCATACCCATCAACAGACAAATATGGTGTGACAGGATATGGAAGTGCCAGAAGTGTGAACGACTTCAAGAACGAAGTGATTGCCTTCAACGGAGCTATTAAACCGGTTACTAAAACAAGTAATCTTTCTGAGTGAGCTTCGAATTGATGTTATTAATTAATTGAAGATCATTTATTTTAGCACTCTGTTATATGTAGCTACTCTCCAAAGTGTGACACCTAAAGCATCTTTGATTATCGTTGGAAACAATGAATCTATGATTGATCCTCTCTCACAAACATTGGCTGGTAAACTAAATGCCACATTCACAATCTATACCGTAGCTGTTGGAGATGGTGCAACAACTAAACTTGCTCCTTTGTCTTCAGGTAAATCTTATTTTTTCAGAGATATTTTTGAACTTTATTATTTGAGGAGACGGATACAGTTTCACTGGAAACACCCAACAAATTGCTGATCAGATTGGTCGGAAAATGGCAACATCCAACCCAGCCATCTATTGTCCACCACCAGTTCCATCTACTTCTGCCCCTATCACTTCAACAGTCAGTATGTCATCAACCGCTTCCGTATCTACAACGATTACATCGACAACTCGCTTGACTACTGCTAAACCTACAGTAGGACCATGTCAATGCGCGGGACGATGGGTGTACAATGGAGACATGGCAATCGCATTCGAATTTATTAATGGCACTGATGGATCAAAGGTACCATAGGCACCATAAGTTTTCATAAACTTTAACTTTCAGCAAGTCACTAACTTTATCAGCAACGTATTGTTGAAGAATTCCGATGCCTATGGTCTCAGCGCCGATGTCAATGGAAACCAACCGTCTAAACTGACCATCGTACCGTATCCAGACCCCAGTCATTACTCTGATGCTAATGCTCTGCCATATGGATCGATCAAGTAAACTTTCAAATACAACAATTCTGTTTTTATACGAATATTTTCAGGGAGGCTAGTGATATCGGAGAGTTTGTAGATATTTATTCCAATCTTACCTCCCCGGATACTACTACACCGTCAATCGATGATGCGTTTGTCTATATCAAAACACTTAATACTGCGAATGCCAACGCCAAAGTAGTTCTTCTTGTGGCCTCGAACGGCTCTAAAGTCACTGATGCAATGGATTCGGCCAACGCCTTGAAAGCCAGTGGTTACACTGTCATTACAGTAGCTCAAACCGCTTCAGCCGATGTTTTTAAACCATTGGCATCTGGAGATAAATACACCCTTCAAATCGGAGTCGGAAACGATGATGTTGCTGCTGATCAAATTGCAAATCTTCTTTTGGATTTGAGTTTCGTATGCTATGATGATGGTTCAAGTACTCCGGCTCCAACTACAAGATGTCCAGGAACTCAAGGAACAACTCAGCCAGGATCTACTGGAACAACGCCAGTAGCAAGCAGCAGTAGCTCAATGGGATCGACTTTTTCCTCTGGAAGCAGTAGTACATTGGCCGGATCATCTTCATCAAGCTCTGGTAGTACAGTGTCTGTTGGTTCAACTGTCCCAACCCAATCTACCAGTCAAGGAAGTTCGAGTTCAATGAAATCAACAGTTTCCCAAGGTTCAACTTCCACTCAACCGCCTGCATCGTCTGCTAGTACAGTAACTTCAACAATGGGCTCAACTGTAACATCTGCATCATCCACACAAGGTTCCAGTACATCCGGATCAACAAGCATGGGCTCAACGGTGTCTTCTTCGACCATGCTAACTACTATGAGACCCTCAGTAGGACCATGTGACTGCCAAGGAAGATGGGTGTACAACGGAGACATGGCAATTGCCTTTGAATTCATCAAGGACTCGTCTGGATCTGATGTTTGTCTCCCCTACTCTATATAAATTTAATTCGCTCGTTTTCAGAAAGTCACTAACTTCATCAGCAACACATTGTTGAAGGATCCTAGCTCATATGGTCTCAGTGCCGATGTCAATGGAAATCAGCCATCTAAACTGACCATCGTACCATATCCTGATCCCGTCACCTATGCTGCCGCTAATTCCCTACCGTATGGTTATATTAAGTAAGATACTAAATTCTGTTTCTTTATTTTGAATGGAATATTTTGCAGAAACTCCACTATGATTGGAACCACTATTAATCAGTATAGAATTTTCCAGTCTGATAGTAATGATCCATCCATTGCTGATGCTCTTACTTACATTGGAGAACTCACAAAAGGGCCAAACGCCAAAGTTGTTCTTCTTGTGGCCTCGGAAGGAAATGATGTTATTAATGCAACAGAGTCCGCCAATGCCTTGAAAGCCAGTGGTTACACTGTGATTACAGTAGCTCAAACCCCTACCTCTCCCGACGTTTTCAAACCATTGGCATCAGGAGATAAATATTCTCTTCAAATCGGAGCCGGAAACGATGATGCTGTTGCTGCTACAATCGCTAGTCTCTTGTTGGATATAAGTTCTGTATGTTATGATGATGGATCAAACACTGCTTCTCCAATCACAAAGTGCCCGGGATCTCAAGGAACAACTCAGGCAGGTTCTACTGGAACAACGCCAGTAGCAGACAGCAGTAGTTCCATGGGATCAACTGTTTCATCAGGAAGCAGTAGCTCAATGGGATCCACGGTGTCCTCTGGAAGCAGCAGTACAATGGGATCAACCGTTTCATCTGGAAGCAGTACTTCAATGGGATCAACAGTCTCCTCTGGGAGCAGTACTTCAATGGGATCAACAGTTTCATCTGGAAGCACTAGTACAATAGCCGGATCTTCCTCATCAAGCGCTGGTAGTACAGCGTCTGTTGGTTCAACCGTCATAACCCAATCTACCAGTCAAGGAAGTTCTAGTTCAAAGGGATCAACTGTTTCTCAGGGTTCAACATCAACTCAAACGGCTGCATCGTCTGCTAGTACAATAACTTCAACCATGGGCTCAACTGTAACAACGGCACCATCTACAGAAAGTTCGAGTACATCCGGATCAACAGTAACTAACACAGGATCCACGTCTTCCCCTGGTGTCTCCACATCTACAAGTGGATCAACAGTAACATCTGGATCTTCCACCTCGCCTGTTCCGCTATGTGCATCTCCATTCAAAGGAAAAATTGCAGTAGTTGTTGAGATGAAAAAAGATGACGCCGAAATTCAGGTATATTACAAACTCAATACACTAAAATCAATCCTTTTCAGCTAGCCGCGGCGTTCGTCAAGAATTATCTCTACAACTCTCAAAACTACAACTTTGCCGATGTTACGCAGGCTATCAATGTTCCATACGGTAGCACTGATCAATATGGAACAAATATATTGAATTTCGGTGATGCTAAGTAAGTCGGATCCAAGAGAATTTTTTAAAAAATTAATTCATTCAGAAGCTTGACAGATCTGCAGAAAAATCTCGATGATCTTTACAACAACTCTATTTTGACAAGCATGCCAGCAGTTGCAGAGTAATACTACTTCCACGTAACCTAGATGACTACTAATAATAATATTTTCAGCGGGCTTAATTGGATTGCAAACAACATTGATTCTCCAGCAGCTGGCTCAAAAGCGATTGTTATTGTTGTTGGTTATAAGTGAGTTAAGCAAAAAAAAAAAACCACCAATGAAGTATACATTTCCAGCCCCGACGTTAATGAAGAAGCTACTTACTTTGCTAAAATGCCCTTGACAACAGCAGGCTACCAGTTTTTGTCTGTATCCGTTGGATCGGGAAATTTCGAGAGCATAGCTGATAAAAAAGAATGGTACTTCCAAGTGGATCAGTCGAACGGACAGACAATCGCTAACCAGATCTCTTATATTCTTTGTAATATGTCTTTGTAATAACTATCATCTTTCATCTTCCCCCCCCCCATGATATCACACTGCTGTGCAATTTTGACCGATTTCTTTCAACTATGAACTATTTTCTCTTGATTCTTCGTTTTCACAATTCAAACATGTCAACAAGCGCCTTCCAATGCGCCCTCTCTGCTTCTCCCCCCATGCGTGTCTCCGTATCCATGGTAACGAAAGCGCTCTCGTCTTCGTCGTCCTCGTCGTTGACCACAATATTCATTGCGATTTGTATTCAAAAAGAAGGTAGTCTGAAAAATAAGAATGGAACGCCCATCAACGGCATCTTCTCGTCCTCGAACCTCTACCGGAAGAGCTCCATCGGCCAGAGCAAGACCACCATCGGCAACGAGAGGTAGTTTGATCCTCTTTTTTAAATTTTTTTTTGAAGTTAGAACTAGAAAAAATTGACGAGAGGTATACTTGCAAACAGGACATTGTATTACTTGTTGAGTACTGTAATTTTTATATGAGTCATTCCGAAGGCCCGTTTTTCTAGTATACCTGGAAGAAAACCCTGTTCTTCAACATAAATTATTTTCAAGTTCCACCATCTCCTGCGGCACCGGAGAGCCGTCCAATGACCGGAATGTCCATGAGAAACGGGGGACCACCAGTTCCAGTCCCTCCGTCTAGGAGTGGAATGATTCCAGTACCTCCATCCAGATCTGGAGGACCACCTGCTCCTATGCCAATGTCCCGTGCTGGTGGTCCACCCAGAGCTCCAACTTCGGTGAGTTTATAACAAACCAAAACTGTTATATACCTACAGTACCAACTAATAAGATATACGAAAACGTATTTTTCTGTTGTTTTTCAGTTGCTTTCCGGCTATTTTCAGGAGTCTGTAGACCACATGTCAGCTGTCTGACTTACAATCACTTTGAAAATTTTGGAGAGCGTAAAACAAAGATAGGTTGAAAATTTTGCATTTACAGAATTTTTTGAAAATTCCAAGTTTTTCAGCTATTTGCATATTACTTTTTTACGGATTTTTTTCGAAAAATGTTTCTTTTAATTGGCGAAAAAATTGCCAATAGCTGAAAAACTAGGGGAAATGGTCAAAAATCAACGGAAAAATGCGTTATCGACTGGTGCTGTAACTAGATATCAATTTAGATGGGCGGTCGTCCTATGACAGGAATGGCAAGACCACCAACCACCGGATTGAGACCGGTTACACAGCAAGGATTGAGAGCCCCACCATCGAGAATGGGAACTGGAAGTTGGTCTCATAAAATTCAGCGAAATTCCTAAATCCCTGAAAATTTTCAGATGCCCGGCAAGTGTTTGATAAGAGCTACTATATCGGCGTATTGAGAGCCAAACAGAATGCAATAAAAGTGGAGATATCAAAAATGAAAGAGAAAAGAGACAGGGGAATAAGAGATCGGAATGAATTGCATGCATACGAAACGAGAGCATCTTCTCAAGCACAGGAGATTGCAGAGCTACAGGGAAAGCTGTTGGATTTGAATAAGATAATGGAGAAGATTCAATTGAATGGAGATATGTCAGATATTGAATTGGAAGCAAACAAAATGAAGGAGCAAGCCGATGAGGTAGATATATACCGTATTTCATGTCCTTTAATCTCAATTATCTCGATTCCAGAGAAAGATATCAAAAATTTGTTGTTTTTGATATGATTTGAAGGAACCGAAATAATTGATCACAAATGCCATCTAAAGTGGTGAGCTATTTACTACTAGAGCACTTACGGTGTGTTGAGCTCAATTATCTCGATTCCTATGAAAGTTATCGAAAATGTGTCCTCTGATAAAATTTTGCTGTTAATCTGTTAAGCATTTTATCAGTTGACAGTTTTTTTGATATGTAGTATACAGACCGAGATAGTTGAGCTCAAAGTTGACAGTAACTCCTCCTAATTCAATATTCAGATGAAAGCTCTTACCGAAGAAGCTTTCAATGAGCGTGCTGCCAAGGAAGAAGAATGTCAGCGACTGGAAATAGAAGTGGAGGAGCAAAAGAAGCTGAACGAGGCAGTAACACATGCAATGGATCCACAAATGAAGGAAAAGTATGAGGACTTGAAATCCGAAGCCAAGCTTCTAAGGGAGAGAGTTGCCAAGATGGAAGCTAGAAACGAGGAGTTGGATGACAAACTCTCGAATTATGAAATCAAAATTCGCAGTAATCCATTTAAAAAACGAGCGGTTACTCTTCAAGACACTTTGGACGCTCTCAAAAAAGAAGAGGAAAAACTAATGGAAGATATGCAGAATGCGTTGACACCTGAGGCTTGGAAAGAGAAGATCGTAGAGAGTATGAAGCAGTTGAATTCGGATTTGTTAGTTATCGAAAAACAGCACAAAGCACTGAAGGATCAGATTTCGTTGGCTTCAGAAGAGTTACATGAGTATGATTCGCAGGGTGAAGCCCAGATTAGTGAGTTGAAATCGAATTCTATAACATATTGTCCACTTTGAGCACAAATATCTCAATTCCTATGAGATATGTCAAATATGATTCAACGGATAAAATGTTTGTGATACCATGATAAACATTTTATCAGTTGACAACTTTTTCATATCTTTCACAGGAATCGAGAAAATTGAGCTCCAATTTAAATGTTGCTGTACAGGTAATACGGCAGTTTATTATGCTGGTACAAAAAATCGGCGCTGTGAAAAAGGAAAGTTTGTGGGGCGTGGCTAAAGGTCTCTACGGAAACAAATTTTTTAGGTTACTGTATTTGTCGTTGTTGGACCTTCGCCCGTGGCCACAGCTCCGATTTTTGCATACCAACAAAAAAAAGACTGAATTTATTTTCCAGTGGCTCATCACACAAAATATCTACAACTTCTTTCGAAAAGTGCTATGCTTGATGAGACTCCCGAAGACTATCCGCAAAAACTGAAGCTTGCTCAGCAGGAGAATGAAGAGTACGCGGATGCGATTGTGTTGAATTTGCGAAAAATTTCGGCAAACTTGAAAAAAGTGAACCTAGGTGATCAGATCACTGATTTAGATGAACGAGGTCTTAACATGAACAGTGGAAATATTGAAGAGTTGAAAGATAGTAAGAAAATGTTTAATTAACGCAATCATTTTGATTTTATTGTTCTAGTGCATGTTCGTCTTCAAGAAGAGATAATTTCAACGGAGGACATGGAGTTGGCGATAAATGAAGAGATTGATAATATGACAACAGAAACGAAACGAGTTCAGGAGGCGTTGAAGGCTCTAGAGGAGGTTGGCGACTCCGATCATCAATTACAGGTGAGTATAGCTTTAACAATAACATACATATAATATATTTTAAGGAACTCGAAGAACGGAAAACGGCGTTGGAGAATGAAGAACCTGCACTTTCCAATGAGAGACGCCAACTGGAGGCTAATGTAGCAAGTTTAAGAAATGAGCTTTATTCTGTTCCTGGATATGCTCAGGTATTTAAAAATCTTTTTTGAAAATGTTTCTGTTTTTATAAAATTATTACAGTTCAAAGTTCTTCGCGAGCAATTGGATGTTATCGAGAAGCGAGTCGCAGCTAAAAGCCTGGACCTGAACTTGAGGAGAAGCGAGATGAACTTCGAGAGCATTAAAGCTGAAGCTATGCGTCTTCAGCGAGAATACAATCAACTGCTTCTGGCGAATCCACAACGACGATTTACTTGATTTACTTGATTTCTTCATTACTTTTTCTCTTTTTTTTAAATCTCAATAAAATACGATATTTTTGAAAAACTACAGTAATTTTAAAGGCGCATCCGTCATTATGTGGGTGAGGCTTCACAACGAAAACCGTATACCAATTACACTTCCGATTTTCGCGCCCATTTTTCATCGCATTTCAGTTCAATTTTCTATCGATTTTCTCGCTTTTTTTTATGTTGAAAAATAGAGTTTCAGTTGGAAAATGTCGTTCAGTTTCGTTTTTTATAAGGAAGTAACGAAGAAGACGTTTTTTTTCTCAAAAATACCGCAATTTTTCGTTACAATCGCAATCATTGAGACTGTTGCGGTAATAGCAGTGTCTGGAAAGTGAAAATGATAAAGAAAGAAAGTGATGCGTTGTAAATGAATTGCCATCGATTTTAAGTTTTCAATAAACCGTTGTACTGAATCTTTTGGTGTGAATTTAAAACTCATTTTGTGTAATTTTTGACCCAATCCAATGCTGTGAAAGATAATTATAGATTCTATCACTTTGATATTTAATCCTTTTCTTGTCTCTTCTTTTTGATTTTATATTATTTCCGTTAGTGAAAAGCAGCAAGAAGATACTGTTAAATCAATTTTCCTCCAGTAAAATTGTCGGTTAGGGTTGAAAGCAGGCGCGTAGCGGTTCGGCCGCAACGCAACTCCCATTTCTTTGCGACTCCCGCTCACCCATAATCTCTCATAATGGTGTGGTTCTCGACAGCAAGACGCAGAGAATTGCCTAGAACATTGTCTGTTCGACACCACCGCCCGGCAATTGAGTATGCCACCAACGCGCTACTAGTAGAAGCCAACGGGGTCTTCTTTAAAAATTGCTAAAATGCCCTGGTTCCATGATTATTCCGGGTTTTTATCAATCTGCGTCGTCCGTTTCACTGATAATAGGGTCTCGTGCCTTCGCCACGTCACGATTGGTGTCTGCGTCTCTCTTCGAAGTGCACTATTCCGCACATGGCCGAGTTTTCGGAAAACCGTTGGAAACCTCGGCCGTTGGCTGGGCATGTCTGTTCGAATCCTAAACTTTGCTGACCTAAACCTCATGGAAATTTCTCGAAACCTCGTCATTATCATATCGTTTATCTTTAATTTCGTTCATTATACTCTTGATATTGTTTCAGAACTTCCTCAATAATGTCGTCAGTTTCGTCCGCCGAGCCAACTGCTCAACAAAATTTCAACCCCAGCTGGTGAGCTACGATGAAGCGAGCTTGAATACAGAATATTTATAGGATGCGCACTAATTCTGTCAATCGCGGTGGATCTATCTCTTCTGGCGGTCATCGACTCTCCGGAATCGGTGGCGGCGGTTACGATGATGGCGATGTAAGTTAAAGAAATTGAGATGTTTCTTTTACAAGAAACTAAATATCACTTATTTCTCAATCTGTATTAGCACATCTTCCTTTTTACCATCCTGAGTTGAGAGAGCACTTGAAACAGGTGAAAGCATACTTGCCGAAGAGCCGATTCCAGGCCGGCTGATAACTCGCTTGAAATCTGAAATTGTAGCGAAACAACATACC